TCGCGTCAACCGCCGGACGGACATACTGACCGATTCTAGAGTGTACTCACTTTTTGAGTACACAAAAATGACGTATTGGTCAAAATTAATATGATAGTTAGAATTATCATTAGAAAGTGAATCGACTTATCTGTATTTCAAATATATTTAACGCATTGTGTTTTCATCGAAAAGTTCATCCCAAGTCTATACCTTAGAGTTTAGTCAGAAGATGAAATTCATCAAAATACTCTTTTTATTGTCTAATTATCTTCTATCTTCTGTTTCATTCTTAGAACTTGTTTCCTACTATCAATATAACTTTTTAATGAATTTCATATTCTGACTAAACTTTGAGTTGTAGACTAGGGATGAACTTTTCGATGAAAAGATAACAACTTAAAGATATTTAAAATACACATAAGTCGATTCAATTTTTGATAATGGTTTTATAGAGAAAAGTTAATTTAATAAAAGCGCAATTATTCAGCAAAGCCAAGTCTTTAAATGCTTTTTCATAATTCTAATTTGATGTGAAGAATCGATTGATATTTTTCAAAAAAATTTATATCTTGATTTCGACCATAAAACTAACTATCTTGATGAGTTCGTGTATTTTTTCTTAAATTTATCAATATAAATATATACCTTTTAAAATCAGTTGCTAATCGAATAGAATAATTCATTTTAAGATCAGTATCTTTGAAATCTTCATCTAATTCGTCTTCAGTTATATCTGTACATATTAATAATTTACTTTTTAATAAACCCAATAGAACTTGTAATAATAATTCTGATTTAATTTGTGTTTCATCTTGAAGTCGTTCAATTGTCCAAGTCAATACTTTATTAAATAATAACAAAATTACCATTTGATAAGTTGATACCTTTAAAAAATAAGATATTCTTATTTTTCAAATCTTATCGATAATTATCTATTCTTACTTGTAATATATATTTTTGTGATGTAAAAAATGTTTGTAATTCTCCTTTTGAATGTTGATGAAGCCATGTTAATTTTCGACCATTATGTCGATGAGTATAAAAATCTGTAAAACTATCATATGTTGATTTTAACTAAAATTATAATTCATTTAAATAAAATTAAATATTTTATTAAGAAAATTATACTTCAATTGGTATTATAAAATTCGATGAACCAGAAAATGGCCATGAATTTGAACTAAGTACCATTACCGAAAAATCAACTAAAAATAATTAAGCGGTTTTTTTTTTTTATTTCATAGTTTTCCTTGTTTCTACCTATATCAGTTACATGATGATTTTGACAATATTTTTCATATTCAAATATTAATGTTTTACTCACACCAATATCTTGAAACATTCGTTGTAATTTTGATGTGTATTCAAAACCACATGCTTGCTGAAAATAAAAATTTTTAGGAATAATTCCCAAGGGAGAACAAACTGATTTCTAACATCAGAAATCAAAGAAATCACTGGAAATCATCAGAAATAAGTTTATATTATTTACAATTTGGAACAAACTGATTTCTTGATTTCTAATCATTTATCCGTTTTCCTAGCTATTTCTACAAGGGAAAAAGCACGGAATTCAAGAATCCTGAATTCTACGGATTCCGTATGAGTTTTTAGAATTCTCTAGGATCGCTTAAAATTCTACCCGAACATGCTAGCTGTAGCATTTCAGATGGTGCAAACAATACCAGGGAAGCTAGAAGCATCACCTGAAATTAATCATGTACCAATTCCAACTCCAAAGTTCCGATTTCGACACTTGGCTTGGAATTGTCTGCAGTTAACTTTTTGTGTAGAAACCTTGACGAAAGTAAGTCGGAATCGGGGAATCCGAATCAGAAGTGGGTTTCTCAAAATTTCGAACTTGACTTTTTTCACGAAAGAACGGATTCTTTGAGGAAATAATGATCTTTAATAAGGCTTAACCGAAGGTAATCGAGGTCGGGGTATTCAAATCTGAAGTCGCTTTTTCGAAATTTTGAACTTGATTCCCTGATCAAGTAAACTGACCCTTCCCCCCCCCCCCCACTATCCCCACCACCAATCAACCAAGGTGGTGGGTGGGGCAGTTG